ACGGAGACGGGTGGCGTTGGCGACTGCGCAAACGGCAGCACAAGCAGATGCAGGAACGCATCCAGCACAAAGCCCTCACCGCCCTCTGTGCGGCAGTCGGCCAAGTAGCGGAGAATGAGGGCGCGCTGGAACTTGGGCGAGTACTTCTGGGACTTGCCCTTGCGCGCAAACATCTTGGCCTGTAGCAGCCGGAAGAACACGGTTGTCACCTCTTCAACATGCTCCGGTGCTACGACTGCACACGTGTAGACCACGAGCAGCTTAAGATACGCACCGACTTGGCGGTTGAGCGGAACAGCTGCGTGCACGTCTGTGCCGACGTTGAACTCCGCCAGCAGCGCGTCCACATCCACAGCGGCGCCCGGCGCAACGGAGACGGGTGGCGTTGGCGACTGCGCAAACGGCAGCACAAGCAGATGCAGGAACGCATCCAGCACAAAGCCCTCACCGCCCTCTGTGCGGCAGTCGGCCAAGTAGCGGAGAATGAGGGCGCGCTGGAACTTGGGCGAGTACTTCTGGGACTTGCCCTTGCGCGCAAACATCTTGGCCTGTAGCAGCCGGAAGAACACGGTCGTCACCTCTTCAACGTGCTCCGGTTCTACAACTGCACACGTGTAGAAAGGGGTGGTGGTGAATCGTATGGGGGGGGGGTAAGTGTTGTACAGCGAGTGTGAACGGAATCACACGAAAAAATGCTACAAGGTTCACACACACACACACACACATACACACACACACACACACACACACACACACACACACACACACACACACACACACACACACACACATACACACACACACCGGCTGGGGAGGCGACGTTGAATGTCTTCAAGCGCTCTGTGAGCTGGGGCCCCATCTCCGTGTTGACAGCCATCATGGGCTCCAGGTACTTGCGCACCATGCGGCTGAACGAAGCGCTTGCCTTGAGGGCGTTGGCGCGGATGTTCGCGTCAGAATGGTGCAGGAAGTTGAGCACAATCGCCTGCAGGCGCTCCCACTCCATCAGCGCCTTCCCGTTGTTGAAGCTGGCGAGCACAGAGAGCATGGCCTCCATCTGGCTTAGCGCGACCTTTCGCCGCTTGCGCACCATGCGCACCATCTGCCGCCGCCGCCGCCAGAACACGCGACGATGCGCAGCCGCCGTTGGATCATACGCCTGCACAGCATCGTCGCCATCGTTGGTGGCGTCGGCACCATCGCGCTTCGTGTCATCATCGTCAGCGTTGTCGTTAGAAGTGTCATCCTCCCGCTTTGGGCGCTTGCTATCACGACCACCACGACCACGACCACGGCCACGTCCTCGACCACGACCACGACCACGGCCACGACCACCACGACCACGACCACCACGACCACCACGACCACCACGGCCGTCGTGCTGCATCGCGCTGCGCTTCCGGCGCCGGTCATCATTGTCCTCCTCGTCGTCGTCATTGCTGACGCTCTCATCGTCACTGAGATTGTCGAGGTCGCCGCCAAGATCCTCAATGCCGAGCGACTGCATCGAAATGCCTGCAGGCACGCACGACAACATGCAGATTGTGAAGCGAGGAGTCGACGGTAAGTATTGAGCACAAGCGCTGGGGTCGGCACAGCAACCCGTGCAAACAACAGGTGTCATATTACCACACTGCAATCGCCACAGCAGGTGGAAGCAAGATCACATAACATGTTGGAGCAAAATAAAAGACACGACAGCAGCGCGTGAACGCACCCGCGAGGCCGGCGTTTGCGACGGAAATGTCCTGCAGTTTTCCTGCTCCCTCTTCAACCACCAGGTAGTCGTCGTGCAGCTGGAGGAACTTCTCAACCAGCGTCCTGTTGAGGTGGACGGAGGGATGGCCATGAGCATGAAGACGAGCGGAGATGGGAAATGGGAATACAATACAACAACGTTCAAGCGCAGCCCTCTGTTGAGCAGCAATGGCACTGAATCCCAGGTACACATCAAACCAAATGCACCAATCTCGCAGGCACAAACACACGCACACGCACACGCACACGCGCACGCGCACAGGCGATCTCACAAACACACGCACACACGCGCACAGGCGATCTCACAAACACACACGCATGCACATACAACAAGCATACCAACGCACCTGTGCTTTTGCTCGGTGAGGAGGGGCCAGGTGTTGGCGAGCTCGGCAAAGGTTTGCATCAGCTTGAGCACATCAACGCGCGGTTGCGGGCACACGGCGTTGACAAACCGGTCTGCAACCTGCGTCATATTGTTGTCCCAGTCCGGCTTCTGCAGAAGTTGATGCGATGCTCCAGCGGGTGCACCAGACACCGGAACGACAGCACGTCCAAGCGGTCGTCGACGATGC